CGTTCACAGGAACGCTCGGCAAATTTGGGAAGCAGATTCGAACTCAGCATCCAGAAACACGTCCAGCAGTGTAGGTCTCATTTCAATTGGCCACTTCGACTTGGGATCCTTCCCTGGTAAGCACATATCATACACTACAGAAGCAATGTTCTATGGCATAAGAAAAGAAAAAATGATCTTGTGACAAATGATCTCATGCGGACTTTTTGTGCGATTCAGCACTGCTCAGAAGACCTAGGTTCTCCAACAACGTCTCTTCTCACTAACTCAATGACGACGGCGTAGGTCGACAATTGCCCATACTACATGCAATAGTTTGGAAAATACTTAGAACAAATTTTTGTGGCTTTAGGTGCACTTTGGCGAGACCCTTTTGGCATCATTCAAAAGCATGATCCTTTTCTTCGGATTTTCTATGTAGGAACCGCTACATCTTCTCCGGCTCTCCTTCGGGCTTCCTCGCGGAAAACACTGTGAAGAAAAGATCCTAAAGGATCACAACGACTCTATCAGCCTCTGACCGATCCATCCATATTGAGGGCAAGATCCATCCCTCGTGTCTAGCCAGATTTCATGGTAATTGTTGGGTCTGAATCCTACAAGCCACAAAGAATCAGAAATGAGTTGAGCAGTTCGTCATAGTTCATGCAGAGCACACCAAATTAACGCTGGATGTTACAAGGTTGCACATACGTTTTGTGGATAACCTGTCACTTCTTCCCCGTGACATTTTGATGGAACTTGATCTCCAGGAATTGGTGCGTAAGACATTAGCTTGTCCCTGGGACCGTGTGGCCCGTCGGCGGGCAACGTAATAGTCCGCGGAAAGCCCGCTCTGTCCCACACTCTTGAAACGCTTGAAAGGAGCGGTCGCTAGTGGGTTTACGCACTTCACCTCGTGTGAAGAATGAGCCGAATGTATGGAGAGCTTATGTGGGTATCGATAAAGAATATTATTTCGAACCCAACCCATGGAGGCAACGCGACTGCGACACACTGAACATTAAAATATAATCAAGCTTAAAACAATACATGTGGTGCCAAGATTTCAGCATCAAGTTTGTTGTGCACAGTGCGGATTTTAGCCAACGTCATTTCGCTAGTTGCCATACCATTCAAGGCGAGGACGATCTGTAATGAATCACTTAAGGGGCTTGTTATATTCAATGCTTTGGGTCTTACCTTTTCCTCCTGTACGAGAGAAATTCTTTCTTGGCCTATCGCTTGAAGGCTTCCTATGTAATGTGGTTGCAGGTCGTAAATGCTACGCACTAGTTCGGCTGACAGTGGTTCTTCGATGAGGAAAGTGGAGGCGATCCGGTACCTATGAAATGACGAATAGTTCATGAGAGCGCTCTCCGCATCGAACTAAAAAGCATCGCACCGCAAACGGCTTGGACGTCGCATTGATGGAAGCGTGCCTATGACCGCGTTAACAACATGTGTGTGAGCAAGCTGTGTAGCTGCACCACCAGCTGTTTGAACAATATACTGCAGTCGCTGAGTTGACACCGCGCGACCATTGATGTAAACAGTGGCCTAAGGAGAGGAAAAGAAGTCGCAATCTCTTGAGAAAGCTGAGGTATGCCTGTATTCTCTATTTACCGAAAACGGCTAAGCTTCAATAATCACCTGACTTGGTTTCAATACAGACCGCGACAGCACAACACAAATGTGGGTCCATTCCAACGGTCGTATGATATCAGCCAACATTACTCGGATTGCCTGAAATCGTGCAAATGTGTTCGCCTGAATTCACATGAATCTCTGAAATCGAGTTCCATGACAAAGCATTTTGTTCATGAGTTCAATAGTGTGGTGCTGATCGTGCTAGTCCCAAGCTAGTTCTGACTAAAGCGGTCAAAACTCTTTCCACGGTTTCGGAGTAAGCTTACAAAAAGGGGTTGTTAAACGACCTTTACACAAAAACACTATTTCATCCCATGAGCGGTGCTATTCGGAAAGCACCAATACCGAGGTACAATTGCATCAAAAAACTTGCTCGTCCATGTTTTACTATTAAGACGTGGACGAGCAAATTTCACAATTGACTTAACCATTGAGATCTTCTCTTCAGGACTGACGTTTGGGCTAAATCGCCTTCCTAAAGGCCTGTAGGTCGAATGCATATTTGTGATCCAAAGGTTACCTTTTCAAATTACAACAGGGACCTGACCTTCGGGCAAACCCAGTTGTTAGACACCCTGAAGCTCTCTGTGACCCGACCTCTGGTTTTCAAACGCATAAAAAACTGTGAGAAACGTTGAACTCAGATTGCCGATAAACAGCTCCACTCGGATGGCCAGGAGGTCAGATTTATCGCTTCCTTTTCTCAGCCCTTAGATTATCCCTCTGTAATTTGAAAAGATAAATTGCAAATATGTATTCCACCTACAGGATTCAATAAATGTGATTCACTCGAAATGTCAGTCGCGTATGAAAGGTATTACCAATTTTGGAGGCTGAGTCAAATCCATATATTACATTATTATACCAGTTGGGCTACGCACACTAATGCGTGCACCACATGCCCACTACCGCTTACTTACGTCTTGATGGACCAAGATGAACAGTATCGGTTGACTCCCCTTTTCATAACCGTTTCCCCACCGCGCTCACGTGACATTCACACTCTTCGTCGTGCCTGACTTTCCGAAGGACGCACAAACGGGCATACGAACAGACTCGCAAGATTACCGCTCTATATATAGAGACAGTGGGACCGCCCGGCTACCGGTCTTACCTCCTTCTTATGACAGTCGGATAAAGGGCAAACATCACACTCCTTCTTTGGAACGAATGATACTTTTCGGAACACGAAGTTCGATAGAGGAACAATAGGGCATGCAAACGATTTTCAGAAGGTGCCGATGCCTATTCCTTTGATTAGAACCTGTCTCGATCTGTCGCTGTTGATGTTGAAAATAATGACCTATTGAAGATTTAACTGATTGGCATTAAAAGCCTTGAATAGAACTCACAAATGCGTCGAGTCATAATAATACCATGTCAAATGTCAATCAAATCAGAGATTACTTCATCAACAGTGTCAAGTTGGAAAAGTGCGAATACGCCAAAGATTTAGGCGTACTCATTGACGCTAAACTGAAGTTTTCGACTCATATTGAGTATGCGACCAACAAAGCCTACAGTTCCCTTTTTACGATTTTCCGGAACATTTGTAGTGATAAACCCGACATACTCATTCGTCTCTACAAATCTTACGTTCGTCCTCATTTGGAGTACTGTTCGCAGATTTGGAGTCCTACTTTGAAAAAAGATATAATTAAGCTTGAAAAAGTTCAAAGTACGTTCACGAGATTAGTCTTTCTTCGGATCAACAAGGGTTCAAACAGACGCAGCCTTCCAAACAGCAGACAGAGGCTGAAACATCTAGGATTGGAAACTTTGCTATATAGGAGAACTGTTTCGGATCTTGTTTTCGGATTTCGGATCTTTCGTAAGGAACTCAATATGCTCCCAAGCAAATACTGGGTACGTAGGCCTAGTAGCGAAAGAGGGAATAGTTTTAGTCTAGATTATCCAAGAATCTTGAGTAAAAGTCGTGAGCAGGTTTTCAACTTCTTCTTTTATCGTATCGCCAAGTGGTTTCGGCTTCCTAGTGAAGTGATGCGTTCAGAGAATTGCGTGGTCTTCAAAAGTAGGTTGAACAAA